TACGTGCTAATACCCTTGGGAAAGGTATGAATCCTCTTCTTCTCCCCCCAGCTATGGGTAAATATCAGGACAGACTGTGTTCTATAGCCTTGGATGGCAACTGATCTACCACAGAAAGAAATGGCAACCTACTGCGGGAAAAAATCTGCCTTTTCAGGCATGTATCATAGATACATGATCACCTAAGTGTTTATCACACATGGCATGTAACTGACTGACCGAATATCGAGACATGTGAAATGAGATTTGATAGTCTATTGGGATGCATTATAATTTATTGTTCATTATTCTCCCCTCAGATTATGACACAATTATTTCTTTTGCCAACTTTTTTTTTAGAATTTTTCTCTCAACACTTAACTTGCACATGTGTATGTGGGTGTGTGCAGACATAGAAGTGTGCTGAGAAATTCTGTGATCATCCCACTCACTAAAATGTGTATCCTGATGTCATTAAAATACCAATTTTAGTGAGTGGGTTGCGTTGAGATTTTCTCAGAAACAAAAATGAATGTTGCATCTACAGATGGACTTCAAGTTTTACAGATACAACACTCATCAGGGTCAAGTTTTGTTAAATTCAACTGACATGGTCAGGCTTTTTAATTTTTACATATTTTTCTAACTTTTGAATAAGACTTGTCGTACATCCAAATTGTGGATAAAATCTTTGAAGTTTATGTCTTTGTTGAAGTACTTTCAGTTGTCTTGTGTTTTGTTTTTTTTTCCATATGGTCGACAAGATTCTGTTGGCTACATCCTAGCATTTTTGGTGTGTTACAATTTAAATTCAAATATCATATAAGTGACACCATGCATAGAATGGTTTCACAGGACTTTATTGCACCGGAAAAAGAATGTATAAAATATCTTATACATTATTATTTTATACACTTATTAAATATTTTTATACACCCATCAAATACCATCTTCTGACTTTTGAGTAGTTTATCTACAATTTTGATTTTGGTGCCCAACAACTTATTTGAAAATTAGAAAAATATAATAAAAAATGGAAATAAACAGACTTTTTTTTTAACTGAATTTAATAAAATTTGTTGAAATAAATACCTACTGCCTAAATATACTTTATATTTGTTTTTATACCCCTGCCACTGTGTATGTATTTTAAGAAAATCTGACAAAGTAGAAAAGATTTTTCACATTTTGTCCTTTAGGACTTCATTGGACTATAATGATGATTATGTTGATGTGATTACACATGTACAGAAAAGAGAAGGAACACTAAATTTAAATTTAATTTTTTTTTTAAATATATGTTTTGAGTATATAGTCTAGCCAATTTCATTTTTTTATCACTTTTATTAAATATTTCACATTGTAATAATAGAAAATCTACCAAGAGAGGTGAACTATGAATGATTCAGTGATTAAAGCATTTCCTTTACATTTTTGTCTTAAAGTAGCATCAATCTAAACATCTCTTTAATCTGATGAAGTCCTAAAGGATGAAACGTGTCATACAAAAATCTTTACACTTTGTCATAGATTTTCTTAAAATTGTTCTTCATATATAAACATTTATATATCATTTTCCCATGTGTTTCTCTCTCTCTCTCTCTCCATATATATATATATATATATATATGTGTGTGTGTGTGTGTGTGTGTGTGTGTGTGTATTTTTACTAGAGTTTATATATACTTGTTACAAAATAAAATCTTTACATTTGCCTTGAAAAAGTCCATCAGAAGATGAAACATGTTGGAGAAGAAAAGTTTACTTTTTGTCTTTATTCATTTGTTTGCACACATACACACACACAGTTGTGGACAGAATTATTCACTCCCACTGAATATTTGCATATTTTCAGTAATTAATTAATTTACCATAAATAATTGATTCCATATTTAGTTTTGAATAATTTGTGAATTTTTGACAAGTTTGATCTATTCATAGTTATAGATTGTTCTATAAATTGGTGCAGCCCAAAATTATTCATCCACCCCTTATGGAAATGCTGAAATAATATGGCTCTATGGTAAAAAAATTTTTTGTACGAATATTTGTTTTCCCCCCACTGTTATATAATCATCCACAGACAGACTGTTTTGCTGTATCACAGCTCATCAGTGTGGCTAGACATGCAATTGCTTCAAACTGGGATTAAAAAAAAATGTATATATATATGAATAAAGTGTGTGTGTGTGTGTGTATATATATATATATATATATATATATATATATAGTCATCCACAGATAGACTGTTTTGCTGGATCACAGCTCATCAGTGTGACTAGGCATCCTGTTGCCTCTAGCTAGGATTGAAACCCAACTGAATTGGCATCAGTCGGGGATTCTACCCCTAAGTCGTTATATATATATATATATATATATATATATATATAGTTTTTAAGTGTGCTATATTTATGGGATAAAGTGTTCAATATCAGAGATTGAGTGTATGTAAATATAAATATAAAAGTGAACATTGAAGTCAACACTCAGAGGCGACAGGCTGTTTCATACTAGATACAATTGTCAGGCCACAAGTGTTGGGCTTCTTCAGGAAACTCAACACTCACGAAAACTATCAACAAACCACCTAAACAAATTAAATCTACGTGTAACTGTAGAATGAAGAATGAATGTCCCTTAAACAGTAATTGCTTACAAAACAACGTAATATACAAAGCCATGGTAAAATCACCAGATAACAAAGAAAAAGTATACATAGGAGTAACTGAAGAACCCTGGAAACAAAAAAACTACACGCACAAAACATCATTCACAAATAGTAAATATGTAAACAGCACAATGCTTTCTAAGTATATCTGGAAATTAAAAACAAAACACAAATCACACCAAAAATATGGAAAATAAGGAAAAGATCATCAGCCTACAACAATAAATCCAAAACCTGCAAACTTTGCTTGGAGGAAAAAATAGCTATTATTACCTTCCAAGACCAAAATAAATTACTAAACAAATGATCTGAACTGATCTCAAAATGCAGACATGAAAACAAATTTTTACTGTTACTAAAAAATAGAAAACTGATAAGAATAAATAAAAATAAAGAAGATAAAAATAAAATTAATAAATTAAATCAATAAAATACTACATTACTTAAAAATCAAAAAACAAAAAGAGTAAATAAAAATATACAAAATAAAAATAAAAAATAAGTAAACAAATAATAAAAAAACAAGTAAAATAAATTTAGCCAAATAACAAATAAATGAACAAATTAACCACTCCCGCTAAAACAACTGTTACAATAAATAAAAATAAAATGAATAAGCAAAAACAAGTAAAAATAATCAATCCAAATAAATAAATAAAATAATAAGCAAAATAAAAAACTACCCCTACAAAAATAAGACTAGACTACAGTACAGCAATCAATCCAAAAATTGAATGAATAAAGAGCTTTAATTATCTTCCCAGACCAAAAAAAACTATTGAATAAGCAACCTAAGCAAATCCCCACAAAATTTTTAATACATTAATAAAACATAGAAAACCGAAAAGAATAAATAAATATATAAAATAAAAAATGAAAATAAATAAAAACAAGTAAAATAAATTAACCTAAATTAACCAAAATAAATAAATAAACAAGCCACTCCTGCCAAAATAACCGTCAGAATGGACTACCCACAATGCACCACTGACCCATATATATATATATAAATAGTTGTGAAGAAGTGCAACACTCATGGCCTGATGATTGCGTCTAGCATGAAACAGCCTGTCGCCTCTGAGTGTTGACTTCAGTGTTCACTTTTATATATATATATATATATATACATACACTCTGTGTGTGTGTGTGTATATATATATAAAATCTGTGTTTGTGTATTGTATTTTGAGCCTTTTTAAATTTACTTTACCAAAGGACAAATGACAAATTCCCTTAATAATTAGGTAAATTTTGATCTGAAATTTATGCTGTATAATGTTCAGTCAATGTAATTAATAGCAAATCAGGAGATGTTGGAAAATATTTATTGTGTAAACTGTTTCTTTCTTGATTATGGACTCATTGACTTGCTTACATACACTTGTCATCAAAAATGAAATCATCAGCTCTTATGCATCATTTAAAAGAACTAAATTTTCTTACTTTCTGTGAAGACTGACTTCCTTTAAAAATAGTTATTTTCATTTTCTAAATTTTATGCATATATATTTAAAAAAAATCTTTTTTAATTAGTATTTTAAGACATGGCTAGGCTAAACTTGTGTCTGAGAGACACAGTATTTGGATAACTTATTTCTTTCTATTACAACCCATTATTAGGTTTAAACCATTTTTCTTTTTCTTTAATTTTATCTTATGTAATCTCTGTTGTTTCATTTTAAGAAATTTATTTTACATAATTTGGGCTAAATGAACTTTAGCACAAGTCCAGATTTTTAGAGTACCCAACTGGAAATAAAGTCATTACAAATACATTGTGAAACTAATTTACTAACCACTGCTTTATGATAAGTACTAAAAAATTTATTTTATTTATAAATCCTTAAAAATATATTTTATTCAGCGTTTTGAAGACTGACAATTCAAATATATCATCAGTCAATAATGCTTCCATGTTAATTCAGACATTGAATTTCCAGTATCAAATTATTATATTATCTGTGTTGAGAGTGGTCAGCTTAAACGTCAGCTCAATCGGAACAAAAGACGTTAATAAAGAAACCAGAGCTTTTTAGTTGGGACACTCAGTCTTCCACCAAGATGCTTATGTGCTTATTCTCATTATTTTATTCAATATGATTGCTTTTTTTTTATTCCAAATAATAAATGAAGAATCAATTGTCAAATTCGGCAGTCAGTTGATAGTTAATTCTTCTTGTCAAAAAAGCTCTCTACCTGAACATTATGCAACACAACTGTTGATGACTCAATGATACTAAGGAATACATGTCAAATCCCAAATGACAATAGAAGGTTCAGGTGTGTACACATTTCCTATATTGATTTTATTCAAATCATCTGATTAATGAATATGTTTTTTTTTATCTTTCAGGATTATTAAACACTTCTTGCTACCTGAACTCTAATCATGTCTCACAGGAAGAGCTTTTTATAAAAGCCATAATGCAGTTCACAAGACAGGGTCAGAATAAACCTCAGTGCTACAAGATCTTTTTTCCTTCTATGAAAATTCAGGAAACATTGTTCCTTGTGCTTGAACAAAGTCTTTAGCAGAAATAACAAAATCAAAAAAAAAAAAAAATAAACTGTCGTCTATTCCTAATATGAAGTAAAAATTTGCAGTAAAATTCATCTGTGGAATAAACCACTTCATTTGGGAGATTGGAATTCTTTTAAAAGTGCTTCCTTTTAAGATGAGTATTGTTTAAACTGAGTAGCAATTTCTCATTGCAAGATTGAAAAAACATTATCAAACTTGTAATGACAAAAATAAAACTGAATGGATTTTTTATGAATGAAAATACAAATATATTGTTAATAGCAAAACATCTTAAGTAATATAGAAGAAACTAATTTATATGTTGCGCATTTACTTATAATTTACTTATATCAAATTACTTATAATTTTAAATGTTAAATACCTATTCTTATGAGAAAGACCTTTTCTATCTGAATTTCTGGGATAATTACTTATCATTATTTTATATTCAGTCTATTGTCCCCATCTTTGTTGTTACCATCTACAGACAATAGCCTAATATAGTAAAGCATTCATTTGTGAATTTGGGGACATGGTAATTATGAGTTCAATACCTGGGCTGGGCAGTGCAAACTCTGTGGAAACAAGGTGACTAATATATGAGCAGTACTAAATAAGAACAAGATGAGTTGAATGAGAACAATCTACCCTGGTAGATTAAATAATGGGTTTGAAATTCCCTGAAGGTTGCCCAGATCAACAAACACCTGAGGAAGGTCAGAGGACACAACAGACGAAACATTGTAACAACAACAACAAAGACGAGGCCAATTGTTTGAGTATGACTAATGAGAAAACTATTTCAATATTTTTCTAACTTCTTTTTTCAACAGCATAAATTAAATGATTTCAAATGCATGAACCCAAATGATAAAAATGAATTCAGCACTAATTAAAAATGGTTTAGTCTCTTATGAGAGTTATAATTAGTGTTGATTCCAGTCATGAAAAATATGCGTACTTACAGATTTTATTTGAATGGAACATAACTGTAATAGCAGAATAAAGAATTTCCCACAAAAACTTTCAAATTAAATTTTCACTAATTATTTGAATATAATATCATAATTCTGCTTCTTCCTTTCTTAGTTACACCTTGCCATTACCTCAGATAAACAACGAGCTATTCCTGTTTGATTGCAAGGATAGATGGAAGAAAAGATATATCAAAGGCATTGTTTGGTTTTCAGTAAAAGGAAAGAAAGAAAGGTGATCCTCACAAAGTATTCCTGCAATAGTCCTTAAGAGATGTGCTCTTGAGCTCTCTCCTGTACTTTCTAAAATCAACAATAAGTGACTTGCTGCTTGTTGGAAATCCTCTTCTGTAGTTCCAGTCTTTAAGAACTCAGGCGAACTGTCTAAACTCATTGTTCCCAAAGTTGGGCAATATGATTTTTAATGGAGGCAATTCAAGAATTAGTTATTAACAGTGATTTTTTCTAGTGAGTGTGTGTGTGTGTGTGTGTGTGTGTGTGTGTAAGTTAATATATATGGTGCATATATAATATGCATACATAAAAATATTTGTGTCAAGTATGTACTGCATATAATTTATGTATATTTATATTAGTAACACAATATTTTTATAAATATTGTAAAATTCTAAAATTAAATGATAATACTATTGCATATATGCAGTTTTAAGGTCTTAAGTAAAGTTAAATTAATGGCCTTTCCAGCTTCTTCCATGTGAATATGAGTTCAGTTTTTTAATAAGAAGAATTATATGTCACAGGGTGAGGAGCATCTGAATGTCAGAGATCCTTGGGCGGGACATGGCCAAAAAAGGTTGGGAACCACTGGTCTAATCTTCTAACCATCGACCTATTAGCCTTCTAAGTTTTTTTGGCAAAGTGCTAGAGACTGTGAATTAGTTAAGCATCTCACCTCATGCAGACTTCTTTCAGATAAGCAATATGGCTTTCACTTCTCTAGGTCTCTCATGTGATATGTTAACCATTATTACTAAAAGAATCTGACATGCATTAGATAAGAATGGTGAAGTTCAGGTTGTTGACTTTGGACTTCGCATTCTGGTTTTCTTCAAAAGTTGAAAGGTTATGGTATTTCTGGTCAAATTTTTGATCTGATTTAATTTTGTTTATTAACCTTTAACATTCTGGAAGTGATTTTGTTTGCAAAGTAAAAATGTTATCCTGCCACTGCAAGTGACACAGATGAATGAATGGTAGAGTGCTTTACTTTTGTAGTTGTGTTGTCATATCCTGCTATGGCAACAGAAAATGACCATGACTGAAATTAAGTAACCTTGAAAAACAACGCAATGAAAAAGAAAATAAGTAATAATCCAGAGTGTTAAAGGTTAAATCAGGAAATAAAAGCTGCCTTGAATCGCCATACTTCTATATCTTTTTGCATTAATGTAAGTATCCCTCAGAACTATATCCTTAGACCTACTTGTTCCTAATTTTTGTCAACGGCCTTCCCAATGTTATCAGTTCTCAACTCTGTATCTATGCTGATGAGATGACTATTTAATCTTGCCTTAGGTCTGATAGGTTTGATAAGATCAAATTGTTAGCTGATCTTGAAAATGACCTACATACAATCTGTTAACTGAAGCAATAAATAGCTTGTTAATTTTAATGCCTCCAAATGAAACTGCTCTCGTTTTTAATCATCTTAGAAAACTATTTATACCTTCTATCAGTATGTCTGGAAAGTGACTCATTGTGCCTTCTCGGGCTAATGTTTTAGAAAAATTGGTTCACTGTGTTGTACTTTTTCTCGCAAGAATCTATCTTACACCTTTATATGTCTGCCATTCATCCATACATTGAATATTTCTGCTGGCTTACAACCACATCTCATTGAAACACCAGTTTCCATACTATCACTGAAATTAAGAAACATTGAGCTTGGTCAGTATCTTTGTAACAAGAGTGAGGGAAAGAAATATTTATCTGCCCAATTACTTTTCTCTCGTTATGGGAATTGTTATATCTGTGATATAACAACACCATAGTTCACAGACAGGACAGAATAGCTGAATGAAAAAAGAATAATAAACATGCTTGGTTCTCAGAGAGGTTTATAATGCTACACCATACACAAAATTAGATATATGTATATATACACATGTCCCACACTGAGAAATTACAACATATACAACAACAAATGGTGAGTAAGAAAGAGTAACCTTACTTGTAATATTTCCCAAAGAGAAAACTGTAGTTATAGCAGCTTCTCTACAAACCAAACTCTAGGCAATGTTGTTTTTTTTCCTGTAAGGCCTACTGCTCTGGGTAAGTGATGTCCTTCTTCTCTGGGCTCTACATTACAACTGCCTTCGTCAATCTATCTCCTAATGTCATTCACTGGCCGTCACATGATCCTTGTGACCATCACAACAAAAGGGAGAGAATTGACATTTGTAACCCAACATCTTGATCGGTGGCACTTGGGAATACCAGGTGCACCAAGCATGGATGTAAAGTTGGTATAATGGATAATGGTTCAGAATTGTTAATAGGAGAGCCGAGTTCCAATTCTAGCTAGGTTCATTATATTCACTTATGTGCAAATACTCTTGGGAAAGATATGAATCCACCTCTTCTTCTTTCAGCTATGGGTTAATTAGTAAGACTCATATAACTAAAATATTATTATCTCAAAAAAATTCTTTGAATCCAAAAATATTTTTCAGAAAATCAATCAATGAATCAATCAACATTGCTGCCACACATGGTCTGGTGTTTCTACTATATATTTAGAGATACTTGATAAGATACAAAAAAGAATCCGCAATGTTATTGGTCCTGACTTGGCATCTCAGCTTCATTTCCTTTCCCACCTCCATAAAGTAGCTTCCCTGTGCCTTTTCTGTAAATATTTTCATTGTAATTTTTCTCATGAGCTTTCCTTTTTGGCACCTCAACTTTACAAATTTAAGTGCAGTACTAGATTGGCATAATGTAGCTTTCCTTTGCCTTTCCTTTAAATAATTTCTTGCTAATTCTTCTTTTCACTATGGTACATAGACTTTATGAATTTAAGTGCAGTACTAGATTGGTGGCAAGGTCTCATCATTTTACACTTGAAATGGCTAGATGTAACTGTAAGTTCTATGCTAACAGTTTCTTCTCTTGCATAAGATTCACTTATTGGCGTCTCGGCTTCAGTCACTTTCCTACCACCATAATGTAGCTTTTCTTTGCCTTTACTTTAAATAATTTCTTGCTAATTCTTCTTTTTCACTATGGTTTATAGACTTTTTATGAATTTAAGTGCAGTACTAGATTGGTGTCAAGGTCTCATCATTTTACACTTGAAATGGCTAGATGTAACCGTAAGTTCTATGCTAACAGTTTCTTCTCTTGCATAAGATTCACTTATTGGCGTCTCTCGCTTCAGTCACTTTCCCTACCACCATAATGTAGCTTTCCTTTGCCTTTACTTTAAATAATTTCTTGCTAATTCTTCTTTTCACTATGGTACATAGACTTTATGAATTTAAGTGCAGTACTAGATTGGTGTCAAGGTCTCATCATTTTACACTTGAAATGGCTAGATGTAACCGTAAGTTCTATGCTAACAGTTTCTTCTCTCCCATAAGATTCACTTATTGGCGTCTCGGCTTCAGTCACTTTCCTACCACCATAATGTAGCTTTCCTTTGCCTTTACTTTAAATAATTTCTTGCTAATTCTTCTTTTCACTATGGTACATAGACTTTATGAATTTAAGTGCAGTACTAGATTGGTGGCAAGGTCTCATCATTTTACACTTGAAATGGCTAGATGTAACCGTAAGTTCTATGCTAACAGTTTCTTCTCTTGCATAAGATTCACTTATTGGCGTCTTGGCTTCAGTCACTTTCCT